TAGACGATGAAGGTGTTTGGATTTCTGTCTTGTTTCTTTGTCTCTTCTTTTTGCACGATGTCTGTGAATAACTTTCAAGTACACCAGCAAACAATTTGAAAAGTTGAGTGGAGGTGGTAAATGAAAGAAGTCTGGGAAAATGTCATTAGATTTTGAAACTGAATGATGGATGATTGACTAAGATGGGTTACTATACCATACTCTCTACCGTTTTTGTATATTCCACACACTTATGAATATGTATTTGTCACTCAGACAAAGCTCAGTACTCATGGTGCTGGTCTGTGGCTCTCCTGGGCTCCTTTCATGGACATGTCAAGACACAGGCCCCTTCATCTGTGTCTCCTCTGCCATCTTTTGGCCTCAAGCTCATCTTGGAATCATCCAAACAGAATACAAGGAGAAGAAAGAAAAAAGATGGTATACCCACTACTTAGCACCTCATCCTGAAAGTACTCTGCACATCGCATTGATGAGAACTGGTCACGTGGTTGGCAAGGAAAAGTACTGGGAGATGTAATTCCTGGCTGGGTGGGTACATTCCAGCATCACCACCATATAATAGAAAGGGAATGGAAACTTAGTTGGTCAGCTGACCATATCATCTATAACTACTCTACTAGGCATGTTAAGGTGATGCCCAAGGAGGTAGCCTGGTCTCCTGCAAGGAGATAGAAAAGGGATTTTACAAGGGTTGTAAGGATGTATTTGTAAGCTGCTAATACAAGGCTTCCCAAACTTGCTCCATGACATACCTGTGAGTGGTTTTGGCTCAGAGAAGGTGGAGTGATGGCAAAGGAGGCCCCAGGCCACCAGAGCTCTTGGGGCATCTGTCCTTCAGCACACTGAGGCCCCATCCCAGCATCCACAGTCCTTGCAGAATGTGCTACCACTGAAGGACAATGGACATGATGTGCAAGGGCTATCTCAAACTGCTTCTTATAACCACATATGAGTCTATAATTATCTTTGTGAAAAGGGATGAGTGGCAAAGGAGAGACTCTACAGTACCCTAAGTCACCAGAAGCTAACCTAAGATGGACCCAGGGCCCCTGTTCCCACTCCCTCTGCCCCCTTCCCAGGCCCCAGAGTCCAGACATGCCTGGCTCCTCTGCTGGGGTTTATAGGATGGTGCCCAGTCTCTGTCATGATGTGTCACAATCTGACTTTTTCCCAAACCATCTCTCCATCCTTGCTGTGTTCCCTCCCTACCTGCTTCACACCCCTCAACACAACCCCCCATACACCTCAGTCACCCTGAGCCACTAGCCGTTCTCCAAACTCATCACGATTTCTCCCACCTTGGTCCTTACACATGCTGTCCTTTGCAGTCCCAACCCAAACAGCAAACTCCTACACATCTTCCAAGACCTCTGCCCTGCCACGTCACCTCTTACTGCTTCATGTTCATCCTCTAACTCACCGCTCAAATGCCCACATTCATTTGTGGATCTTTCTCTCCTGCTGGACTGTGAACTCCTTGGGTGTTTCTTCATTTTAACATCCTTAGTACCCAACACAATGCCTGCAAGGACTAGTTTTCACTCTCACACTGCTACTACCACCCTCTCTGACCCACACCTGTCCACCACTTACCCCAACTTCACTCAGTCAACCCAATGGACCCTTCTAGGCCTTGGCCAGCATCAGAGTGTAGGGGAAGACAAGGCTTTGCACTTGGAGAGATGTGATGTCAGACCTTGACTCTGCAAAATTCTACTGTGTTTTCTTGGCAACATTAGTTCAATTCGCTGAGCCTCAGTTTCCTCCTCTGTAAAATGGAAGCAATCAGCATTCCTCCCAGGGTTGATATAAGGACTACAGAAGGGGGTGTATGTAAGAACGCAATATAGATCAATGAATGTTTCTCCTGTCCTGTAAAGCCTTCTTCTTATTCACCAGTGACCTTTCTTTCCTTTTGAATCTTTTTTAAGACAATTTTTTAGGGACTTCCCTGATGGGGCAGTGGATAAGAGTCTGCCTGCTAATGCAGGGGACATAGGTTCGATCCCTAGTCAGGGAAGATTCCACATGCCCTGGGGCAACTAATCCCATGTGTCACAGCTCCTGAGCCTTCACTCTGAGTTCACGTGCTGCAACTACCGAAGCCCTTGTGCCTAAAGTCTGTCCTACAATTGGAGAAGACCCCACAAAGATAAGCTCAAACAGCACGGCAAAGAGGAACCCCCCCACTCGCCACAGCTAGAGAAAACTGGCTCACAGGAACGAAGACAAGTGCAGCCAACATAAGTTTTTAAAATAATTTTTTTAAAGAAAAAACTTGTTTAAAAAAGCTTAATTTTTTTAGAGCAGTTTTAGGTTTACAACAAAACTGAGAGGGAATACAGGGTGCCCTTACAGCCCCTCCCCCTGCCCATGCATAGCCTACCCCACTATCAACATCCCTACCTTTCTACTTTGACACGTCTTTATCACCTAGAGACCATGGTTTACATTACTATTCAGTCTTATGTGCATTCCACGGATTTGGACAAATGTATAATGACTTGTATTTGACCTTATAGCATCCTACAGAGTGTTTTCACCATCCTGAAATATGCTCTGTGCTCTGCCTATTCACCCACGCCTCATCCCTGGCAACCACTGATCTTTTGACAATAGTCTCCATAGTTTTGCCTTTTCCAGATGTCGTATAGTTGGAATCTCCCAGTCGCAGACTCCTCAGATTGGTTTCTGTGACTTAGCAATATGCATTTAAGATTACTCCTTGTCTTTTCATGGCTTGATACCACATTTCTTCTTAGTGTTGACTGACACGTCATTGTCTGGCTATGCCACAGTTTATCAATCCATTCACTTACTGGTGAAGGTCATCTGGGTTGCTTCCAGGTTGACAATTGTGAATGAAGCTGCTATAAACATCCATGTTCAGATTTTTGCATGGACATAAGTTGTTGTTGTTGTTGTTGTTTGGACCTAAGTTTTTAATTCATTTGGGTATGTACCCAGGATCACAATTGTTGAATTGTATAGTAGGAATATGTATAGTTTTGAAAAAAAAAAAACTGCCAAGCTATCTTCCAGAGTGACACTACCATTTTGCCTTTCCACCAGCAATAAATGAGAATTTCCTTTTGACACTTCATTGAGTGAATGGAGAGCACTACATTGTCCGTGTATGTTAGAAGTTCCCTGGGTAGATTATTAAAACCTGGAAAGCCAGGGCCTATGGGGAATATCTCATCTGTAGCCCAAAGGACCCCATGCAGCAGGAAACACTCGCTCCAGTGGGAAGTGGAGTTATTTTTTATGGGGAAACCCTGAAGATTCACAGTGAAAAGACAGCTAGCTTACTACTTTTAAGTACCTGACTAAAATACTTTGCATTTTACATATATTTTCAAATTTAATCCTAACTAAAAGTTTTTAAAGGAAATATTCTCCCTGTCTCCAATTAGAAGTATTATTTCTTTCTGAAATAAGTGAGAAGTCTTATTTCATCCCTGTTCCCATCTACTCTTTGCCTCAAGGAATCACACTGAATAGGTTCTGTTGTGTCTCTCCAGGTACAAAAATACATTCTTGTATGCAAATACAAGAACATAGTCTTAAAATCCTCTTTTCTTATATAAAATAGAACATATTTGTCATGCCGTCCAACACTTTGTTCTTTTCAATCTATAATTCACCTCGAAGACTTTTCTATTTCAATAGACAAAGAATCTCCTAACTTTATCCCACGGTCTGGAGGTATCATAATGTACCTAACCAGTCCCTATTAAGGGAAGTTTACATTGTGGAACTGAAGACCAGAGAGGGGAAGATACTCGTCTCAGGTCACACAGCCAGGAAGTAGAAGGAAGGGCTCCCAGGTCCTCGCTGTTTTCTTTCTCATACCTAGAGAAGTTTCACTATATCTCCCTGAAAAGCACAGTGCAGAGAAGAGCTGTAAACTGTCCTGGGATTAATTCACTGATCATTTCCTTGGCTCAGGAAGCTGGCTCCAGGTGCCTGGTAATGTCTGCAGAGGGATAAGACCCCGGATCCCAGCATCAGTTGGGTGATCAGGATGGTTGGTCCTGGAGAAGTTTCCCAGGTCCCAGTTCTGGCCTTACCACCGAGCAGGTGTATGACCTTAACCACAAGACTTAACCTCTCCAGGACTCAGCTTCCCCATCTATAAAATACAGATGATGATCTTCCAGAAGAACAAAATCAATTTATTTATTTTATATAACTGACTCAGGACTTCCCTAATGGCTCAGTGGGTAAAGAATCCACCTGCAATGCAGGAGACACAGGAGACATGGGTTTGATTCCTGGGTCGGGTAAGTCTCCTAAAGGAGGGCATGGCAACCCACTCCAGTATTCTTGCCTGCAGAATCCCAAGAACAGAGGAGCCTGGCAGGCTATAGTCTGTAGGGTCGCTAATAGTCAGACACAACTGAGTGACTAACACTTTCACTTTTCACTTTCTCACACGATTGAGTGTTGTTCAGTCACTCAGTCGTGCCCGGCTCTTTGCGACCCCATGGACTGCAGCACGCCAGCTTGCCTGTCTTTCACTCTCTCCCAGAGTTTGCCCGAACTCATGTCCACTGAGTCAGTGATGCTGTCCAAGCATCTTGTCCTCGTAGCCCCCTGTGACTCAGTGTGAGGGCTGGTAAATCCAAAACTTGTTAGCAGGCCCGCAGCCTGGAAACTCGCGTAGGGTTTCTATATTACAGTCTTCAGGCAGAATTCTTCTTCGGGAAAACTTCAGGCCTTCAACTCTTTGGAGAAAGCCCACCCACATTAGGGAGGGTAGTCTTTTCTTAAAACCAACCTATTGTAAGTGTTAATCTCATCTACAAAACACCTTCATGGCAACACCTAGTGTTTGCCCAACAACTGCACACCGCAGTTTGCCCAGTGGACATCCCAACAGACATAGCCCGTGTGAAAGCAAGCGCGAGAAGGCTGGGCCCCGCCCGTGGAACTTGTAGTAAGCGGTGAACAAGGTTTAGCTGTTGGTGCTGCAAGCTGGGCCGCCACAGGTATTACAGCGTCAGAGGATGCATGAGAGCCGTGGGCTCAGGACCCGCCACCTCCCCTCCGCGGGCCGGGCCCGGAGGACAGGCGATGTGGCCGCAGTGCCGCTCACGGGCTCCCAGCCCAGCCACCGCGGAGGCAGAAGCACAGACAACGCCAAAACCGCAGACATGCCTCTGACAGCCGGGACACACAAGCGAAGGCGGTGGGAGCCCAGGGGCGAACCAGAGGCCAGAGACGGCTTCTTGGAGAAGGCGACGTGGTCATCAGTTTTAAAGGTTACAGCCCGATTAGCCAAGTGAGGAAAGAAGGACGGGCACAAGGGCTGTGGGATAGTCCAGATAGAAGACCAGCCAGTGCAAAGGCGCCAAGGAGTGAGGAGTGGGAATCAGCGTGGGGCAGGGGCCCCCAGCTCTGTTCCTGGGGACGGAGGCAGGACCCATCACAGGGCGTGGCAGGCCAAGCCAAGGCGTCAGGACAGGACAGCGCAGACAAGCGCTCACAGCGTGCCAAGTGCCAGGTACCAATCATGGATTTGCACCCTCACAGTTCTCGTAGGAGGTAGATGCTATTATTATCCCAGGTTAGGTGTTTTGCAAAGTCACACGGCTGGAAGAGATGGGCCAAGATTCAAGTCCAGACAGACAGCTAGTTCCAGGGCCCACAAGAGGTGGCACAACCACAGGGGAGCTGGAACATGCGGCTTGGGTGGCTGCGGAGGGGGCGGGTGGGGTCTGTTGCATTTGGGATGATGGGGACTGCCACGTGCAGGTCCCAGGAAGTGAGAGACAAATGCTGGAGAGAGGAATTTAGACCCATCCCCAGGGCAGAAGTCTGCCTCACTCTCGCCAGTGTACATGGACTCTGTGCCAGGACCACTGCTTTTGCAGCCCTTAAAGTCCTCCCCAAAGCCCTGCAAAGACGCAAAAAACATCTTCCTTTGGGGATGAGGAGGCTGAGGGCAACACCTTGGCCACCCCATGCTGCGAGGGAGGCTGGGGGCACAGAGGCCCTCGGGCTGAGTGCGTTGCCACCATGAGGAGGAGCAGGGTTTCGTTCACCAGGATGACTTGAGAAATGGCTCTCTGGTTGGCAATTGATAGTGTCTGCCCCAAGGAGGTTCAGAGAGGTCAAGATACTTGCCCAAACTCACACAGCTGATAAATGTCAACAGGGATTTAAACTCCATTCTGTCCACTCTCACAGAGCACACGGGTCCCGGCTCCAGCGCCTTCCCAGGAGTCTCTCCCCACTCCTGAGCACTGCGCTCAAGCCACCCAGCACCCACTCGGGCGCCGGCTCACCCTGTCGCCCCGCCCCCTGAGCACTGCGCCCAAGCCACCCAGCACCCACTCGGGCGCCGGCTCACCCTGTCGCCCCGCCCCCTGAGCACTGCGCCCAAGCCACCCAGCACCCACTCGGGCGCCGGGCTCACCCTGTCGCCCCGCCCCCTGAGCACTGCGCCCAAGCCACCCAGCACCCACTCGGGCGCCGGGCTCACCCTGTCGCCCCGCCCCCTGAGCACTGCGCCCAAGCCACCCAGCACCCACTCGGGCGCCGGCTCACCCTGTGGCCCCGACCCCTGAGCACCGCGCCCAAGCCACCCAGCACCCACTCGGGCGCCGGGCTCACCCTGTCGCCCCGCCCCTCAGCACAGCACCCAAGCCACCCGGCACCCACTCGGGCGCCGGGCTCACCCTGTCGCCCCGCCACCTGAGCACTGCGCTCAAGCCACCCAGCACCCACTCGGGCGCCGGCTCACCCTGTGGCCCCGCCCCCTGAGCACTGCGCTCAAGCCACCCGGCACCCACTCGGGCGCCGGCTCACCCTGTGGCCCCGCCCCCTGAGCACTGCGCTCAAGCCACCCAGCACCCACTCGGGCGCCGGGCTCACCCTGTCGCCCCGCCCCCTGAGCACTGCGCCCAAGCCACCCAGCACCCACTCGGGCACCGAGCTCACCCTGTCGCCCCGCCCCCTGAGCACTGCGCCCAAGCCACCCGGCACCCACTCGGGCGCCGGCTCACCCTGTCGCCCCGCCCCTCAGCACTGCGCCCAAGCCACCCAGCACCCACTCGGGCGCCGGGCTCACCCTGTCGCCCCGCCCCCTGAGCACTGCGCCCAAGCCACCCAGCACCCACTCGGGCGCCGGCTCACCCTGTCGCCCCGCCCCTCAGCACTGCGCCCAAGCCACCCAGCACCCACTCGGGCGCCGGGCTCACCCTGTCGCCCCGCCCCCTGAGCACTGCGCTCAAGCCACCCAGCACCCACTCGGGCGCCGGCTCACCCTGTCGCCCCGCCCCCTGAGCACTGCGCCCAAGCCACCCAGCACCCACTCGGGCGCCGGCTCACCCTGTCGCCCCGCCCCCTGAGCACTGCGCCCAAGCCACCCAGCACCCACTCGGGCGCCGGGCTCACCCTGTCGCCCCGCCCCCTGAGCACTGCGCCCAAGCCACCCAGCACCCACTCGGGCGCCGGGCTCACCCTGTCGCCCCACCCCTCAGCACTGCACCCAAGCCACCCAGCACCCACTCGGGCGCCGGCTCACCCTGTGGCCCCACCCCCTGAGCACTGCGCCCAAGCCACCCAGCACCCACTCGGGCGCCGGGCTCACCCTGTCGCCCCGCCCCCTGAGCACTGCGCCCAAGCCACCCAGCACCCACTCGGGCGCCGGCTCACCCTGTCGCCCCACCCCCTGAGCACTGCGCCCAAGCCACCCAGCACCCACTCGGGCGCCGGGCTCACCCTGTCACCCCGCCCCCTGAGCACTGCGCCCAAGCCACCCAGCACCCACTCGGGCGCTGGCTCACCCTGTCGCCCCGCCCCCAGCCTCTGCCCTGATTCCTGTGCTTTTCGTCTCCTGCTGCAACTGCTCTGAAAAGCCCGCTCGACACAGTACACACACCCAGAACTCTGATTCTTGTTTTCATCTGTCATTCTTTCCAGATTCCCGGCCCTCTAGCCTTTCCTCCCCATCCCGCTTTCCCCAGAGGCCCCAGAGGCCACCGAGGATAAATTACATCATCTGTGCTCCGGACCTCACGGGGCCCAATTATCAGGCTATAAGTGGAAACGCCCTGCATTTTCCCACAGGAAAGCGCACTCCCTCACTCCTGACCCTGCGTGCTTCTGGGGATCTGGGCAGAGTCTCTGGGCTCATGCCTGAAGGAAACCAATGCCCCCCGGGGCATCTTTTCATCCACTGCAGACCCTCTCAGCTTCTTCCAACATGGGCTAGGGTGGCTTTGAACAGAAGAGAGGCAGCGCCACGGGGGTCAGGGGAACATCAGTTTGGGAGTCTCTTAGACCTAAATTCCTGCCTGCCAGTGCAGGAGACAAAAGAGATGCAGGTTCGATCCCTGGGTTGGGAAGATCCCTTGGAAAAGGAAATGGCAACCCACCCCAGTATTCATGCTTGAAAAACACCAAGGACAGAGGAGACAGGCAGGCTATAGTCCGTGGGTTCACAGAGTCAGACACGACGGAAGTGACTGAGCACAAAAACATTCCTGTCCAGCTCCTCTGCTTTCCATCTGCGTGAACTTGGACAGGTGGCTCCATGGCTCTGGGATTCTACCATCTCACTTTTCAGTTGGGAAAAATAACAGGCATCATCTCACTGAATCCTGTTAACAATCCTCTGAGGTACAAGCAAAGTCCCCATTTGACAAATGAGTAACCAGCCACAGAGAGAGTCAGACATTAGCCCAAGGCCACAAGCTAGTGGAAGGGGAAGCCGGGGCCTGGGTTAGAACCTGTGATATCAGGAGAGCTCTGAACTACTAAGGAGTGACCTAGAGAGGTGGGCATGGTTTTTTGCAGCCCAGATATGCTGAACCTGGGCATTCAGTGGAGTGAGGTCAGGTGTCAGGGGACATCCAGATTCCAGAAGTGGCTTAGCCCTTGCACATTGCTGGGGAGAGGGAACGTTAATTTTTCAGGGCTCAACTTTCCCAGCTGTAAAATGGGGATGACAGTCCCCCAGAGCTATTGTGGGGATCACAGAAGGTAATGCTCCCAGACCTCCACCACGCCTGGTTTAAAGGCCTCATCTCCCCAGCATTGAGAGCCCTTGGACAGCAAGATCAAACCAGTCAATCTTAAAGGAAATCAACCCTAAAGACTCATTGGAAGTACTGATGCCGCCTGATGCAAACAGCCAACTCATTGGAAAGGACCCTGATGCTGGGAAAGATTGAGGGCAGGAGGAGAAGAAACGGGTGGCAGAGGATGAGATGGTTGGATGGCAACACCAATTCAATGGACATGAACTTGGGGAAACTCTGGGAGATGATGAGGGACAGGGAAGCCTGGCGTGCTGCAGTTCATGGGGTCGCAAAGAGTCGGACACGACTTGGAGACTGAATAACTCCCCTGCATTAACCACTAGCGGCTTTTTCTTTAAATGAACCACAATTTATTACTCAAATATATTTATAGAAACTTTATTGAAACTAACTTCCTGTCGCTACCTTAAAAAGGAAACCGGGCATGTTTGCCACAAATAGAAGGTATTTAAACAGTGAATGCTGGCAAACAAGTGTTAAAGTGTTAATGCGTTAGCACCCCACTCACAGGCCAGTGCACTTCCTGCTCCTTCCCGTCTCTAGGCTGGGTTATCCAAGGCTGGATCAGGAGACCCTCCAGGCAACTTGTCACCTCTCTGCGAGCACACAGGCCATGTCCTGGCTTGGTACGCAGAATGTGGCCAGAAACCCGAGTTCCTCTCTCCAGCCTCACTCCCCCGCAGCAGACCTCTCACAGGATAAACCAGCCTTCCTCTTCCAAAGGACAAAGTGGCCCCAGAAGCCACCTCCAATTACACTTGCCACCCCCCACCACCATCACTTACTCACAGAGGGCTGAGGCATGAGGTGTGGCGGGCCATGATGTGCCATCTCCACCAGCAGCCTGAGGCTCTGGACAGGAGCTAAACCGCTCCTCGCGCACTGAGAACCGCAGTGCTCTAAGACCTCCATGGCTCCCTGGTGCCCAGAGGAGCATGTCTGCCTCAACGTGCCTGCCAGCAGCTCCCTCACCATTCTCTGTCAAGGCGCAGTCTCTGCCACAGTCCTCTGTGCCTGAATCTTCCTGCAGCTGTCCCACAAGCTGGATGCCCTTGAGCAAAGCACTCAAATTCCCTGAGGCCAGACCCCTGGGAGGGGAAGGGTCTCTCTGTCTCATTAGCTTGTCTGGAGGCCCTCCCAGCAGAATGTCCATGGGCAGCGTTGTCTTTGCTTCCTAAAGGGCCCCTCAGGGCAGCTGCACCCCCTCTGGCCATCTCAGCATGCGTGCACTTTGCACTCTGCCTGAGTTTCCTCAGCATGCCCCTCTTCCTTCTGCCAAAGGGCTTTTGCACCACTGTGGCCACTGCTCAGGGTGCTCTTCCTCCACCTATGGACCCTGTGATCTCCTTCATGCTCAGCTGTCAGTTCAGAGTCACCTCCTCCAGGAAGCCTTCCCAGACTTCAGACCAGCTCAGATCCCCATTACTGCTTTGGCAGAAACAAGCGCCCCCTAATCATCTGAGCTCCAGCCCCATCCCTGGACTCCATCTGGCCAGGAGCATTTCCCTTTTGCTGTCCCTGTGACCCAGCACTTCATATAGAGCCAAGCACAGGGCAAGAGTCCCTGATAGATGCCATCATTAGACAATTAGCATCCACCTGCTGTGGGGAGGAGCTGGTGTGTTTCCCGCTCCGTCCCTTACTCCTGCTGGTGCCCCGACAATGTATGTCCATCTCACTCTTCTCCTGTAACATCTGGTACCAGTTAGCTTTTCCTCCCTCTGGATGCTCACAGCAACCTAGTGAGGCAGCAGGGAAGATTGTTACCCTGCTTTCAGGTATAGAAACTAAGGCCCAAAGAGGACCCTCGATTTGCCTGAGCTCCCGAAGCTGAGAAGTGGCCAGATCTTGAGGCAACGGTGGTCTTCAGACCCTGGTATGAAACTCAGCCAGGGTTTAGGGGTTTTTCCATCCTTCCTTGTCCCCACAATCTCTGGGACTCCCAACACACGACTCCTCTTCCTGCTCAACTCTTTGCACAGATGTTTAACTGTACCTCATTTCTTTCTCATTGCAGCCCCCCAGAATGGCATTACCATTCCCATTTTAGAGGTAGGAGAACAGAAGGATCCACAGGCTAGCAACACACCCGGTACCACACATCTGCTGAGAAGCAGAGCCTGAAGTCAGACCCAGGTCAGGGAAGCCATGGAGTGACCTGCCCCCTCCACGGCCCTCGGGCTGGTGCCAGCAGCCTGGTTTCTATGGGGCTTACCCTCCTACCACCCATCATGCACAGCCCGGCAGGGCTGTCCAACAGGGTGCCTCACCCACCCTTGACCCAGACTAGCCGAGGGACCCCACACAGGTGGCCTTTGCTGAGTGCTTACTGTGAGAGTGTCTATGCACCCTCACTGCCTGGACCCCAGAGCACCTGCTCTCTCAGAAGCCACCAGCCTCTCTGTGGACTCTGGGAGCCACACCGTATTCTTCCAGTGTGTTCCTTTGAGCTGAAGTTGGGCAACCTGTTTCTGTTGCTTGCAACCAGAAGCACTGGCTGCTTCTCCTAAGCTGGTGATAAGATCCATGAGACTCGAGCCCTGCCTCACACTCCTTTTGTATTCTCCTTGTGCTTGGCCCAGAGCGAGGCACCTGGTACGTGTTGGAGAAACTGAGCAGTGTGGAGATCCTGGATGGTGTCATCCTTGGCCATTCTGAACGTCTTCTTTACATCTTGTGTCAGTTTCCACATTTTCTACAATAAACTTGGATTGCTTGATTTTCTTCTAAAGAAATAAGCTAAGGATCCCTCAACCCTCAAAAAAGTGACCACTGATTCCCCATTGAAGTGCCCATTGATTCCCCAATCCTCTGCCTCTATGGGAGCTTTCAAGAGGTGTGGGATTTCACAAACAAGTCTACCTCGGATCATCGACTGCACACCCTCCAGAGAGCCCTGGATATGAATGAAAATCCCCGATTTAGGAACCTGATGCTGGCTTAAGCCAAGGAAAATCTGCCACACTCTCCTCCCCAAATTACAATATACCCACTGGAGAAGGGAAAGGTAATATTCCCATCTTGGATTTTTAGAAGAAGTTTTTCCCAAGTACAGAAGTAATACAGTTTGTTTTCACATCTGTATGTATGTGTGCATGCTCAGGTGTTCCAGTCACGTGCGACTCTGCGACCCTGGGAACAGTAGCCCGCCAGGCTCCTCTGCCCTGGGATTTTCCCAGTAGGAATACTGAAATGGGTTGCCATGCCCTCCTCCAGAGGATCTTCCTGACCCAGGAATTGAACCCGTATCTCTTACATCTCCTGCCTTGCAGGTGGATTCTTTACCACTGAGCCACCGGAGAAGCCCATATATATACTTCAACTTCTTTCTCATTGTGTTACCTTCTTTTAATTATCTGTATGTATCACCTGCTTTGCTAAAGTTTCTAATGCAAATTGGAAAAAAAAAGTCATTTTTAATCATAACATAAATTTTTAAGCAATTCAGAAGAACATGAAAAAGAAAGTTAAAATCACCTATTTCCCCAGCACTCAAAGGTAATATTAGGATCAGAATGTGAATGTATTCCTTATAGTCATTTTTCTGCACAGATGGCCATGCTTTCAGGGTAGCTATCGTTCTGTCTCATGGCTTCTTTTTTCTTCTTAAAGCCGCCATTTACTTGAATCATTTTAAAATTATGTATGAGCGACATACTTATTATAAAATGTCACATTGTTGTACAAGTATTGTTTGTCAGGTATCCACACACATTTACATATATACCCACATACATGTGCACACAGAGTGCTGTCTTCATGTACCTAGATGTTTGCTAGGTACTTGCATACACATGTAAACACTCAGATAGATATATTTGATTTGTGCTCACCAACAAGAGGTGTGTTTAAATGGGTAGGAAAAGAATACCATATTTGAGTAGGACAAATATGAAACCTTAAATAGAAATGTCAGGAAATTATAGATCCCTGGGTAAGGCATGAATCATCAGGGGGTGGACTGATAATTTTAGGCCCAAAGTTGACCAAAGGAGTTCACCACATCTTTAAATTCATGCTTCAAATTCCATTGCATAAAATAATTTAAGGGTACATTTTTTAACGTATGTATGTCTCTCTCTAATTGTCCTTCCATCTCATGGTACTGAGATTCACATCCTCCTAACTTGTTCTGTTTGCTGACTCTGCCCTATGGTTGGTCACTTTTCTTATGTATTAATAATTTGTGTGCTGTGATTTCTGTGAGAGTATCCTGTTCCCTTGGTTGGAGAAGTGTCTTTGAAAACCGGTTTTATGTTTTCTCTTTGATGTTCCTGAGTCTTCACTACTCAAGATTCAGTTTCTACAATGTTGTCTTGGTATGGGCTTCCTCTTCTAATTGGATAGCATAAATTTCATCTCTAATCATTCACATGGTACAAGCTTGAGATTTCAAATTCTCCACGGAAACTTATTCATTTCCATGCAGAGCTTAAAGTGGAGACCACATTTTGGGTGAAGGTCCTCCAGCCCCTCTTCCATGGATAGTTATGGCAGTCAGGAAAGGAACAGTTATGCTTGGTGATAAACAAGCCCAGACTCCTTGTGGCTCAGCACAGTAAAGGTTTATTTCCTGCTGATTCCCCACATCACTCAGGGATCAGTTGAGAATTCTGTTCAATGTGTCCTCATTCAAGGGCCCAGGCTGATGGAATAGCCATTCCCAGTCTGGACAATCTGCATGGGCACTTAAATGCTCTAGAAGTTTTTCGTGAACACTATGAGGTTCTTGCTTCATTAACACGTCTCAGTTCTACCTGCCACCACAGGCATGTCAAGCCCATGTCTTCTATCCCAGTGGGGAGTTCCCTTTATTTAAGCTCAGCTAAGTTTTTTAATACCTTTGTTTTATATTATCCAGCACTTCTAGATGTTTCTGATGGTTGAGGAATGAGAAGTGTCAGCCCAGTTTGCCATTTTGCCAAAATCAGAAAAATTTATATCATGTCTTCTAGATTAGAAATGTGCTATTAAAACCTTCTTTCATCTAACAAAATATTATAATGATTTTTTCATAACCTTGCATATTCTTCAGAAGCATAATTTTCAACATTATGCAGTAGTCTATGAATATACCATCATTTATTTAACCAGTCCCCTCCTGTTGGACACCTAGGTCATTTCCAGTTTCTTCCTATTAATGTTAGGGATGCAATGAGCATCCTTATATAGTGAGTGGCTTTCAAAATATGTGACAGCTGGGATGGTCTGGGCTTGGACACCAACCAGTTGGAGTGTGCAGTGGTCACAAGCAGCACTGTGTATACCCACTGCACACACATTTTTCTTTGCACAATTGCACACACCCTGTGATTCCCCTGCATGTGTTCTAAGAAGCAGAATTTCTAAGTGGCTCAAAAGATAAGTGAACATTTTAAGACTGTGACATCTACTTCTAAATGTCTCAAGCCTCACTCTCACTTTAGAAGAGATTCTAAAAGAATCTGAATGATACTAACAGAATTCCTATTTTCCATTTTCCCAGTTGCTTATATGGTAATCGGTCAAAAAGGTGCTGGGATGGAATTTCTCACCAGAAACTCCCTGGTCAGCTGGGCTGGTTGTTCCCTACACGAGGCTGATAACACTCACAGCTGATGGGGTGTCCAAGGTCCCTGTAGGAAGCCCGAGGGAAGGAGGTTGGAGACGTGAACATCCAGTGAGCAAGCACATCTTGCCTCAGCGGGGGGGGGGGGGGGGGGGGAGGTGCTGTGGGTCTGTGGGGGCCCCAGGAGCTGGTGCATCACAGTCTTCAAAACCTGCCCTGGGTTAAGAGCATCGTCTCTGGTATCTGGGCTTAAGTCAGCGTCAATGCCGGCTGTGTGACCTCAGGTAAGTCTGTCCTCACAAGCCTCAGTCTTCTCATCTGTAGCATACGGGTGCCCCCTCCCAGGGTCACCATGAGCCCACAT